GAAAACCTGGACATAAAAACAGTGAGTGGAAAATAATTAGAGAGTTTTTTTAGTCTGAAGGATACGCAGTCGTTGCGTAGAGAAGAGAGAGCCTTTCTCTTGTATTTTACGGCTCTTCCCGAGTCGCTAGTAAGCTTTAGAGAGCCCCTTTCTCTCTTGTGTTTATTTTACGGCTCGTCCCGAGTCACTACTAAGCTCTGTCAAGAGCGGGGGAAAAAGAAACCCTCAAAGGAAGCATAGCCGGACTTTTTCTCCGCTACCTTTTTCGACTTTGTTTGAACTCAAGTGATTATCGTTTCCTTTTGGAAAAGGACTACTTTGCTAAGCAAACTACTTTGTTATGATAAGCAGTTGAACTTACCTTAAAATTCAATTTGTGAAATTTAACACTTACCTTATTTTCAATCACGCTACCAATAAAAATTGCTACAGCTAAAATCGCTACAGCTAGAAGGTATGTGTTAATTGGTGGCAGCGGTGGGATCGTAAAAACCCAATAGACAAACAAAGACGTGATCGTTTTGGAGAACCGTCCCGGTTCTTATCTTCATTCAGAATCAGCCGATTCTAGCATTGGAAAAGAATTCTTTCGCAGTAAAGATTGGAGAATTTAACCAGCAGCTGAAAAGGGATCATCAATGAGAAGCGTTCGTGAAGAATCAACTACTACAAAGACTAGTTCCGGAAGTACCTGGGAAAGAGTGTGAAGTAAAATTCTCCCTCGGGTGTAAAGACAAGACACAAGAAGTCCAGACAAGAGTGAAGTGTTGTGAATTCGCGTTTTGTGTTTACCACCCTCTGTGCAGTGAGTGAAAGTGCTTTGGTGTTTAGTGAAAGAAGAATCGCCCAGTCGACTATTGTTCAATTGGTTTCCTTCTTCGGTCATTGAATCGCGTGTGCAAATAGAAAAGAAAGGAAAGAAGAGCTGTTATTTTTTTTGTCTGCAATGGGTAAGTTGATATGGCATTATCTTTTTAAAGAGGCATTTTAATGGAGTTTGTTTTTGTGTATCGAATTATATGTTTAAATGGTTACTCGTAAATGTTTTGTTTTTGATGAGTAGAGAATTTTATAATAGTATTTTCAACCTTTAGAAAGCACGCATCAGTTGTAAATTGAGTCAATAAGTATTGCTCTTTGTGACTAATATTCTTTTGCCAATAAGTATTTAGCAATTTTTTTTTATATACTGCATTAAGTATGGTTATGTGTTAAGCTGCAACAGATTATTTAAGAAATGCTTAATTTACTTTAATTTTTTTTTTCCTATGTTGCTAATGGTACGTATTTTATGTCATACATACCATAAATTGCATTGCTATGTTGTTTTACTGTAGTATTTCTGGATAGTGTGAAACTTTCAGAGTAGACAAACTGGTACCTTTAGTTTATTTTATTGTATCATTTTAAAATTTTGTCACTGGCAAAATGTCATATCTTGGCAAGGGTAGAAAGCAAGACCTCATAAATCTGTCTGTAGAATTAGGTCTAGAAGTTCCCCCAAATGCAAAAATACAAGATCTTAAAAACCTCATTGTACAGAGCCCTCAGTATGACGAAAAAATTCGTCGAGGCAACACTAGAGTCGATTATCGAAGCGCAAATTGAACAACATAGATGCGAAGAAGCCGAAGAGCGTAAACTTGAAAGGGAGGAGAGAGAATTTGAATTAGAACGTCTAAGGTTGACAAACGCCAATAATGGCAGAGAAAATTCTCAAAATAATATTCTGAGATCTATGAGAGATTTGCAAAATTTAGTGCAGAGATATAATCCCGAATCATCGGATATTTCGCTTTACTTAGCGATGTTTGAGCGTCAAGCTCGCAAAGCGAAGGTAGAGGAAGGAGACTGGGTGTCGCATTTGATGGCTCTATTGCCAATGGACATTGTTTCTATTATTCTATGAGAGCCGGAACAGGAGCTAGATAATTACTCCTACGTAAAGAAAATTCTTTTGCAGCGGTTTAAGTTGAACCCAGAGGCGTTCCGCGTCAAATTTGTTCAACACCAGCGTCGTGCGGGTAGTTTATATAAAGACTTTGCTTTTGAGTAAAAAACTATCTAGATGAATGGTTAAACGGAGTGAGTAGACGTACGAGATTTCGATGCGCTAAAAGACTTAATGCTGACGGATCAAATTAAACGTCGAGTAAACAGCGAAATTCGCGAACACTTCGTGGATGAGTGGCCGAGTATAATATCTTCTGCCGAACTAGTGAAGAAATTAGATGAATATGAAGCAGTACGAAAGTCCGTAAAAAAACCAACGGTTTTACTAAAAATACCGAACAGGATTCAAATATTAACGAAAGGAAAAAAGGAGAATTTTCAGATCGAGTACGTCGCCAGGATAATGTTTCGAAAGAAAAAACTGCGGAGAAATGGAAGTCAAGTGTTTTCGAACAACGGAGAATACCTAGATGTTATGAATGTAATTCAGATAGTCATCTCCGACCTCAGTGTCCTCGGTTAAAAAGACAAGAGGCCGCTGAAGTTGTAAACAAACTAGGCATTTCAGGATCTCCAGATACATGGCTAGCTCCCTATATGAGTATAGCGAGAGTAAATAATCGAGAAATGCCTGTACTCCGAGATACTGGCTCCACTATCGATCTGATCGGATTGGACCAAGTAACACATCAGATGCTTCTAGGAGAGACAGTGTGGGTTAAGCAGCCGCTAAATTTACATCCCTGGTGTTTACCCTTGGCTCGAATTGAATTAGAGGGAGAGGACTTTGGGAAAGTCATTACTAAAGCCGCAGTGATTAGCTCCGACCTGAATCAAGAATATTATCTGCTGGGAAATCGAACAGCCCGATTGATAGAACAGAATAAAATGCAGCCCCATAAAATCAATGCTGTTATGACTCGCAGGTCATTAACCCATGAAGTGCATGGACTTCTTTAGATTTACGAAGAAAGCGAAACATTTCTAAGAAAAAAACGCTGGTCCGTCAGGACGAATTTTTGTCTGGAATCCCGGAAGAAAAAACTCAGAAAGAAAGAAGTGCAGGAAGACCCCCAGAGCATTTCCATTCACGATGTGCTGTTCGGAAATCTGAAACTGAACATCGAAATCGAACAGATCACTGGCAAAGTAGTTTTCAAGATAGAAACACAAAATATTAGCCGTAAGTGGGAAACCCACAGACATAATGAAAGCTCATAGGTGCGAAAACGCACCAAATAAATTGAGATTTTTATCTGAATTAGGTACCAATAGGAGCCGACAACTTGTTTTGAGTACAATAATTTTTTGTTTGTTTTGTTTATTGTAGTACTTTGTATTTGTATATTGAGTGTTGATCCTTTTAGAATTACTTAGGATTTATTGTGTTCCTTAGCTTTATAGTACAGTTGCAACCTTATAACTTTGAGGTAGTTTACCGCCCAGGCAAATTGAATAAAAATGCTGATGGGCTGAGTCGTTTCGAATCGGGCGAAACATAGAGTGTATAAGAGGTGATCATGCCAGTTTCTTATCTGAATAAGTATTTTGTATACAGTAAAAGTGTAATATAAGAATATATCATCAGTTATTTTGTCCCTTTGTTAAGAATATTTGTGATGTGTATGTATATATATATGTGTGTGATTCTGATTTTAAATATTCCATTAATTCTCGCCTCTAAAGTTAATGCCTTATTGACTTATATGTGAACTTTTCAATAGTGACATTACTAGTACTGTTATTAATCAATGTAGCTGTGTTCCTGTAAAGGTGTGTGTTTGAAAGTGTTATCGAGAGAACAGTTTATTTTCGTGTCATTTTTTAAGTTAGTGCAATGATGAGGAGAACTTTCCTCTTCGTTTCAACTCGAGAAAAGTTCTTCCGAAGGGGGAAGGAATCTATAGCTGTAACGTCGTCAGCTATTTTCCACGGGCTCCCACGAAGTCTGGGAAAAGGAGACTTCAAATGGGCGCCAGATGACCACCCTGATGACACTTACGAATTCTTGAGGTCGAACGTGACCCCCAACAAAGTGCGGAAAGCATATTGTTTTTACGAAAGGAGAAAACTTTCATACAAGTTCTCATGGGTTGTGGAGTGTCCATTGTGTGTATGCGACAGACTGTCGCCAACTGCCTGTTTCTCGAAATAATTTAGATAGACCTCCCAAAAAGACGTTCTGAATTTTCCCACGGAAAATTTCAGTTTCTCAGGCTGTCAAGACAGTATCTGAGAACAATCAGCGCCTGTTGACCAATGGAGAGATGCTCCGAAAAAGACGTTTAGCGAATCACTGCAGCAGACGCACAAGACACGCCCAGAAAACCTGGACATAAAAACAGTGAGTGAAAATAATTAGAGAGTTTTTTTAGTCTGAAGGATACGCAGTCGTTGCGTAGAGAAGAGAGAGCCTTTCTCTTGTATTTTACGGCTCTTCCCGAGTCGCTAGTAAGCTTTAGAGAGCCCCTTTCTCTCTTGTGTATTTTACGGCTCATCCCGAGTCACCACTAAGCTCTGTCAAGAGCGGAAAAAGAAACCCTCAAGGAAGCGTAGCCGGACTTTTTCTCCGCTACCTCTGTTTGAACTCAAGTGATTATCGTTTCCTTTTGGAAAAGGACTACTTTGCTAAGCAAACTACTTTGTTATGATAAGCAGTTGAACTTACCTTAAAATTCAATTTGTGAAATTTAACACTTACCTTATTTTCAATCACGCTACCAATAAAAATTGCTACAGCTAAAATCGCTACAACACCAACAAAACTTTAAAAGTGTTAAATGAACAAACAATGGAATTTAAATAATGGAATTTTTTTAGAGTTTTTCTGCTATGCAAGTGAAAATTCACAAAATACCAAGTTGAAAAAATACTTAATTACTAATGTGATATTTATGACATAATACAGCTTAGCTTAAAAATAATTTAAAATTTTTAACATCGTGTTTTAAGTAAAGCTATTTACAAATTTTATTTCACCTTAGCGAATTTTTTAATCCCAAATTTAAACTTATTTTGTATGTGGTTGAACTAAATGAAACAAATACCTTAATCCATGGATGATTCAGAGCTTCATCTACTGTTATGCGATCCTTAGGATTAAGAGCTAACATTTTACTTAATAAATCTTTCGCATGGCTACTAATTACATCCCATGACCTTCCAGTCATCTGTAATAATAATATAAAATACACTTAAAAACAAGCAGTGTTTAAAGAAATAAATCAAAAAAAGAGCTAATGAAATTAACTGATAATCTCATAAAACTATCTCTTAAAATTGCATCCTTCTATTATGCATTCACTGAAACAGTTCTTATATCTATTATTTACATATTCAACAAATAAAACGAAAAATATTTATTTCTAACAGTTTCAATTCATTAAAAATTGTAATTATTATATAATATTATAAAGATTTATTTCAATCAAAATATTAAGCATAATTGACTTTATAAATAAAAGGGTAAGCTATTCAATGTGTTCTTGAATTTAATGCAAGAATAAAGAAAGAATGCAATAAAAATAACCCAAATATGATTTTAATACAGAAAATAAAACTATAAATTATAGTTCACAATGAAAAGTACAGGACTGTATAATTTAAGTAACCCTGCTCAGACCTATGAACAGAAAGTTCTGGTGATGTATTTCATTGAACCTTTTAATATATATGAGGCCCGGTGGCACAGTGGCCAGAGCAACGCAAAGCAGCACCACAGGTCCGAGGTTCCATTCCCAGCCTGGGCAAGGTCGACTCAGCCTTTCATCCCTTGATTTCCATCACTTGGGTTGATAAAATGAGTACAGTCAAAAGTCGTTAATCCGGACTCGTCGGGACTTCGGCAATTCCGGATTATCGATTTTTCCGGATTATAGATCATCAGTTTAAATCTCGTAAGATGGCATGCAGAAATTCTAAAATTAAAAATATGAAACCATAATTTATAAAATAAAGAACAATTATGATCTAAAGGGTATCAAAATTTACAAAAAAAAAAGCTTAATATTTATTTCTTTACTTTATTAAACATTTATTTCAATGTAAGTTGTTTTTAAGTTGCTTCGTTTTATGTGATAATACTTTCTCTTTTAATTCTATAAACAGACATAATTTCTTGTTCAGTTACAAAGTTCCGCTGTTCAAGTCCCGTTAATTGCTGTGTGCCGAGAATACCGACTAACTTGTCAATCGAAATTTTTTCATTTTCACTAACCTCTCTGTCACATTCTTCATGTCTTTATCCATTTTTTGCAGCAATTCCACTTTTTGTTTGTTGGACATCGAAACATACTTTCGTTTTGTAGATCTCTTGGAAGTTCCAGCATCGGAAATTCTATTTGAGATAATCGAAAGTTTAAGTTTACTTTTATAAAATTGCTCTTACAGTCTGCAAAAAATAATAAGCGGGATCCAATTCGAAGATTAAAGAACAACGCAATCATTAACATTAACTGAAATAGATAATTAGATAATTTTAGCTTACACCATCCGTTATACATTAAACGCGCAGGCGAAAATGTATTCTGCACTTGCGCACATGCATATGCGGAGTATTCAAGGTCTTACGCGCACGCGTAAAACGCATGTGCCAACGCGGTGCATGCGCAGAAAGTTTTGAGCTTTGAGGTCCTTATTATAGATCATTCCGGATTATGGGTGTCCGAATTAACGACTTTTGACTGTACTAAGTTCGCTTGGGGACTAAACACTGGGGATCCTGCGACAAGCTGACCACTTGTTCAGGGCATATGCTTATGCACCCCTGGGCCCACGGTCAAGAAAGCAGATTTCGGGCACTGCAGGCCTTGGCCCATTAGGGCTGTTAAACCACTGAGTTTAGCTTTTCTTTTTAAATATATATTATGTAAACTAAACTGTGGGGGGGGGAAGAAAACTGCAATAAAAAATAATAGTTTAAACTTTCACTAAGATGGGGCTTTTCATGCAATGTAAAAATGATTTTTATAAATCAGAAACTCTTTAAAGTGCTAACAGTCAGTGCTGTAATATCAATTTTCACCATACTTTAGAAAATAAATACCGAGCAATATTGGTCAAGCTGTTTTAATGGAACTGCAGTTTGAGTTTAGCAGCACTGTAAGAATATCGATGCTTAAAAGGCTCATGAAAAGGGCCAGTATTGAAGAATTGTTTGAGGTGTGTGTATTTAATTATGGCAAAGCTCGCTAGGGCTATCTGCCTAAAGGGAGGGATGCCTTCATGGAGGACTTTCTAAGGGAAACTGGCTCGTACACGTTACACATGGGGAAAACCACGAAAACATCCATGCAGCTAGCCCGTTCGCGGGATTCGAACCTCGGACCGAACTACCAGTGTTCAGCGACTTTACCGCTCGGCCGCTGGTGGGCCGAAGAATTGTTTGAAAAAGGTTATTAAATTTGTAGAGACTGGGGAGTTGTGTTACCAGCAGGAGAATGGAAAATGATTTCAAATGTAACTGTGGAAGAAGTTAGTCTGGTTGATAAAACAACCTGAACAATGTATTGGATCCTTCAAGCGCTCAAACAGTGTAGCGGATTTGTCAATCCCTTGATCTATAGTGTGAAAGGTTCTGTGATCCATTTTAAAGTTGTATTCATACAAGATTCACATGATGCAAAAGTTGTACCCTCAAGACTCAAGCTGGGCAAGGTCGACTCAGCCTTTCATCCCTTCATTTCCATCACTTGGGTTGACTCAGCACTGATTTTGCTTCCTGTTTATTGGTGAGACCAGACATTGACAATGTATGGCCTTCGAACACTTTGTGGTTAGACAAAGTGCACTTTGCCCTAGATGGAGTAGTGAATGCTCAGAACTGCTTCAGAACATGTGGGGTATTGTCACAGAACTATGAATTCAATTTATCAGCTCTGTTGGAACTTACTTTTATTACCTTTCAGGCCTCGAACCCAAAAGGTGAATTAAACAATATTTTACCTAACATCAGAAATGACAATATTTTATAGCAATATTTATTGACAAATGAGCAGAGCTTTAGAAAGTTTACTAAGATTGTATGTTAATAGGAAATAATAAGTGAGAATCACTACGTCCGTAATATTTGCCTTATGGTACAATAAAACTTCTCAAATTAACAACTATAAACAAGCCATTTGTAACTAATATTTATAAAGTTGTTTCATAACACTTAACCTGTTAAGTAATTTGCATCTTTGAAAAAAAAATTGCAGATGAGGAATTAAATATCTCATGAAATTTTATAAAATTCTTACAAACAAATGCCACAGCTACTCACCATGAAATATATAAAAAAAAAAAAAAAAAAAAAAAAAAAAAAAAAAAAAAAACTGAGAATTTTTGTGCTGTACAGAGGTAGCATTTCAGAAAACAATCAAAAATGACCGAAATCTGCTTTATAATGCATGAATCAGGTTATTTAATAATAATTTGACTCCTAAAGTAAAAAAGAGTGATATTAAATTAGATTCTAAACTTTGTGTTCTTTGGCTAATTTCCTTTTAAATTTTCTTGTATTTTTATATTGAGGAAAGTAAAGCTTTAGTTTACTAATGTGTCTTCGAACATGATGAAAATAAATATTTAATGTTCATGCTATTGTGTGGATAAACTTAGTAATGTGCCATAGATTGGCATGAAATGAAATAAAATACAAATATTTACTGATTAAGCATTCACTCAAATTTCATATACAGGTCTGCAAATGTCTACAGTAGATTAGAACAATTCAGATCATATAAAAGTTAATAAAAAGAATTACATTGAAAACTACTAGGAATAAAGGAATGAAATTTACAGAATTTAAGTTTTATTAATTTAAAAAATTTTATTGAATTATTATAATGACTATTTAATAAAATGAAAGTTTTAGTTTAGTTTTATGAATTCAATAAATATTCCATTTTTCAGCAAATTTATTCCTAAAGGCTAAAAATTAAAAACCAAGAGATTGGGTGATCTACAAGATGACCAGGAGATGTGATGAAAAACAGAGAGCTGATAGTTATGAAATGCATATTATAAATGAAATTATTAGATATTAAACATTCAAATTAAGATTTTGTGATTTTAAAAATTAATTAGGCTGAAGATATTTTTATCATAATTGATATAGCAAGACAAATAGAAGAAACTCACATTAACTTGCCCACTGCATATCGATTCATATAACCATTCTTTAGTTCCTAAAAATGGCAATGTACCCGTTAGTAAAACATATAGAAGAACGCCACAGCTCCAAACATCAGCTGGCTTTCCATAAGGCCTTCTTAAAACTATTTCAGGAGCCATAAAATGAGAAGTACCTATTCTACCTAAGTAAGTAAGTAAAAAAAAAAAAAAAAAAAAAAAAAAAAAAAAAAAAAAAAAAAAAAAAAAAAAAAACAGGTAAAATAAATGAATTATTAAAAAATCTGAAAATGCTCCCATTTCCAGGGAGTTGTGACACCTTACTTAGATAACAAATTCTTTTTAAGATCAGTAATTATGAATGCAGAAACACTTGATAGTGTGGATGAGCAGAAAGTTGAATGGAAATCATATGAAATTTTACATTTATCAGAATACTAATTCAAAGATTTATACTGGGGAAAGAAATGTATGTAATAAGTCATTTTAATGTTATTCACACTTGCTAAAACAGGAAATACAAAATAAATATTCACATGCACAAAAAAAAAAAAAAAAAAAAAAAAAAGATTTCAGGCACAGAAAGTTTACTTAAATTTCTACATCAAAATAAAAAAAGTACAACTATAAACAAAATTATAATGCATTGAAGGGAGAAAATTTTTATTTAGTTAAATGAATAAAATTAAAAAATAAAAGAATTTCCCAAAACTAAAACTGTATCAAATAAAAGGAAATACAGTCAAAAGTCGTTAATTCGGACACCCATAATCCGGAATGATCTATAATCCGCACCTCAAAGCTACAAACTTTCTGCGCATGCGTCGCGTTCACGCATGCGCACAGGCGTTTACGAGAGCGCGTAAGACCCTTAAGGCTGCGAATATGTTTGTGCGCATGCGCGTTTAAATTGTAACGGAGTTATACGCTAAGCTAAAGTTATCTAATTCAGTTAATGTTGCCGATTGCGTTGTTCCTTAATCTTCGAATTGGATCCGGTTTTATTATTTTTTGCAGACTGTTAGAGCAATTTTATAAAAGTAAGCTTGAACTTTCGATTATGCCAAATAGAATTTCCGACATATATTTACTACAAAGCGAAAGTATGTTTTGAAATCCGAAATCTGTTTATCAATTTCACGCTGCTCTGCAGCAGAGGGGGGGGGCAGAAAGGTCATTATTAGATTATGATAGATTAGAAAGATTATGTCAAATAGAATTTCCGATATATATTTATTAATATGTAATTTGTATCTACAAAGCGAAAGTATGTTTTGAGATCCGAAATCTGTTTATCAATTTCACGCGGCGGATTGGAAGTTGATCTGTCAGCACTATCCTTATCTTCAGGGCAGATGTTTTTATTTTATTTGGTTTATAATTCCATACTAAGTGTAGTATTTCATTCTGTCTTTGATATGATTTAAATCAAGTTCCTCGTCATTATAATTCGCTTCCGACAGTGAAGAAAGTGACCCAGAGGTTATTGAAAACGAAAACATTTCGATTGACAAATTAATCAGTATTCTCAACACAGCAATTATAGGACTTGAACAGCGGAACTTTGTAACTAAACAAGAAATTATGTCTGTTTAATAGAATTAAAGAGAAAGTATTATCACATGAAACGAAGCAACTTACATTGAAGTCCCGACGAGTCCGGATTAACGATGGATTAATCCGGACTCGTCGGGACTTCGGCGATTCCGGATTATCGATTTTTCCGGACGGATTATAGATCATCAGTTTAAATCTGGTAAGATGGCATGCAGAAATTATAAAATTAAAAATATGAAACTGTAATTTATGAAATAAAGAACAATTATGATCTAAAGGGTATCAAAATTTACAAAAAAAAAAAGCTTAATATTTATTTGTTTACTTTATTAAACATTTCTTTCAATGTAAGTTGTTTCGTTTTATGTGATAATACTTTCTCTTTAATTCTATAAACAGACATAATTTTTTGTTCACTTACAAAGTTCCGCTGTTCAAGTCCCGTTAATTGCTGTGCCGAGATTACCGACTAACTTGTCAATCAAAATTTTTTCGTTTTCACTAACCTCTCTGTCACATTCTTCATGTGTTTATCCATTTTTTGAGGCAATTCCACTTTTTGTTTGATGGACATCGAAACATACTTTCGTTTTGTACAATCCTTTGGGAGCTCCAGAATCAAAAATTCTATTTGACATAATCAAAAGTTCAAGTTTACTTTTTTAGTATTGCTCTTACAGTCTGCAAAAAATAATAAGCCAGATCCAATTCGAAGATTAAGGAACAACGCAATCATCAACATTAACTGAAATAGATAATTAGATAATTTTAGCTTACACCATCCGTTATACATAAAACGCGCACGAAAACGTATTCTGCGCTGCGCATACGCAAATGCGCAGTCGTAAGAGGTCTTACGTGCACGCGTAAACGCCTATGCGCATGTGTCAACGCAGAGCATGCGCAGAAAGTTTTTAGCTTTGAGGTCCGGATTATAGATCATTCCGAATTATGGGTGTCCGAATTAACGACTTTTGACTGTAAGACTTTTAATCATTCAACAACAATAAGAAACCAGAACATTTTTTTCAATAATTTTAAATGGAAATTTCAAGAAAACATTTTATACATGAAATGGTATAAGTTGACAAGAAAATGCTAGCATACTTATTATATATCAGACTTTTAATTAAAGATTTGCAGTTCTCAACTAAATATATAAAAATCGTTCTTGTAGAAATTAGTAGTTTGATAATCAAAACTTAAGTATTCAATGAAATATGAATTTTTCATAAAGTAAGTTTAAATTTTCCATTATTATCTAACATATTATATTTAAATGCATTTTATCATCATCTATTAAAAATTCAATGTTCAGATGCATGATAAATATTAAACAAAGCTCTTACAATAAATCTTACCTTATGCCATACCCAAGTTTTGGCTAATATTTTTGATATAATATAATACCTTATCAATTATAAATAATGAATCTAATCACACAAAAAATTCATAAGTATAACTTCGATAATTTTAAGGTTACTACATATGATATCAACTCATTTGAGATAGATTACACATAATATGTGTAATACATATCTTAGCCAAAAAGACCAGATACACATCATGTTAAGGTGATCATAAGTTTCGAATATATATCAGCAGTAAAGAATTAATGGTGGAAATTATATCCTTCTGCAACACTATTAAAATCTAAGAACATGCTTGATGCAAAATTTAAAATTAATATTAGTTTCACAACTGATCTCAATTCAATATTCTATGAAATAAACTAGAAGAGAAACACGCTAATGTGACAATCAAAATCGTAAAAAACAACCTTGTATTTAGCGCAGGTATAATGAAAACTCAATTGATTTCGAGGGCAGCTAAAGGTCCTTCCTCATCAGGAGAAAGAAATACATAGAAAGAATAAAATAGGAGAAGGAGTCACAGAAACACGTGGTCCTTATCAGCACTGCACGTGGTTATAACTAGATTTTTAATCAGAGTTGCACTGGCCGCCTACTTTTACTGAGCCAGGCTATCTGATCAAGCATTAAGAAATATTAGCGAAGTTAAAATAGGGAGCGAGGGGCAAATGCACCTTACGCTCAAAATCTGAACTTCAAATAATGGAATCAACCACTGAAAGGATTTTTATACCCTCTGGTAGCACCAAACACGAGGAGGTAACGCCATCTATCGGCAAAATTAACTGAATTAAGAGTAGAATTTTAAAGGCATTAGGAAGGACTGGATTGGACTTCAAATCATTAACTAAACTTTCTAAATCTTTGTGAATGTGAAAAGCCTCAAGAAAATCCAATTCACCTATGGAAGAAGCCTTTTGGATGATTTTTGCAGACCCAAAATCAAAATTATGGTTAAAAGTCCAACTATGATACACTATTGAAGACTTGTTAATTTTGCCTTTTTTGACATAAGTATCATGTTCCTTGATACGAAACTTTTTGTTTGGCCAATATATCTTAAACCACACTGACATGATATACTATAAATTCCCCAAGAATTCAAGACAGAAACGCAATCTTTTAGAGATCGAAGGGTGAATTTTATAATAGGGGAGAAACCGACTTGAAAATTGAATGAATTTCTGGAGAATCCGTGCAATTTATAGCTAACAGAAGGATAATAAAATGGAAGCACGACAAGGTCAGTAATATTATTTCTAACAGTGAAATGTCTTCTTTGATGGGAATCTGAAAATTTTTAACGGCTTTATAATAACGCGGGAGAAAATCCACGGTCAATCGCAACTGCTCTCAAATAATTAAGTTCATTGGTAAGCAAAGATTCAGAAGAACAAACTTTAAGCATGCGGAAAACATAATAGTAAAAAGAAGCCATTTTTTGCTTAACAGGGTGGCATGACTTGGCATGGGGTGGTAAACAAACTGCAAAGGGTTTACGGTACACAGTGGTGCTAAAATCGGTTTCATTGCGGATTATAAGAATATTGAGGAAAGGGAGGGAATTGTTGGATTCAATTTCAAGAGTGAATTGGATGGCTGGATCAATTGAATTCATAATAGATAGAATCTTGTATAAATCCTCTTTATAACCATCAAAAAGTGCGAAAGTGTCATCAACATACCGAATCCAAAGACGAAAAGATAATTTATCAAATAATTTCATCTCAAAATAGTGCATATAAATGTCAGCAAGTACTGGACTGGGAGGATTACCCATAGACAATCCTTCAAATTGGCGAAAATATGCATTTTGGAAAACAAAGTGGGTTTGACTCAGAGAAACTTTAGTAAGTGAAACCAACTCATTAATTTCAGTATGTGTGAAGTGAAATTCCCAAAGCCTAGTTTCAAGACAATTCAGTGCTCCTTCAACTGGAACATTAGTAAACAGTGATTTTACATCAAATGAAACCATAATGGAATAAAGTGGAGAAATATTTTTAAGTTTATCAATGACTTCAACAGAATTTTTTACAGTGAGAATATTGTTAGCAAGTAGTAGAGGAGAAAAATCTGGAAACTAAATATTTGGCCAAAGGATATGAAGCATAGTACAGTACCTTGTTGGAAACAATTGGTCGAAAAGGAATCCCGGTTTTGTGGACTTTGGAAGAGCATAAGTCTAGCGCAATTAGTAATAGATGGAATAAGTGATTTCTTCAACTGAGTTGGCAGAATGGGAAGATTTAATAGCACTTTTTACTTTGTGAGGTCCGAAGTTGAAGGATCTTTAGGGATCGAGCAATGGGCCTTCATTTATCAATTTAGAGACTCCAGTAATATATGTGTGTTTGTTCATAACAACGATCTGTCCGCCCTTATCAGCTTTAGAGAAGATATTATATCAGAATGAATTTCATGTAAACATCTCATTTTCCTTTTGCTAAGATTCGAACCCAAAGATTATTGTTAAAATTAACGTTATTTGAGTAATTAGGTGGCAGATTGTATCCTTCTGCGTTTCCAAAATTTTGGAGAATTTAAAGGCTTTCTCTATAGGGGCGATGATTTGAGGAATTGAAGGTTTAGATGTCTTTGAAAAGTTGAAATTATATTTTAATACTTTTAACTGATCCTCTGAAAGATTCCTATTGGAGATATTAACGATGGAGTTAACGTTTACAGTGGGAAGATCAGCTAGATAGTTGGGACTATCCGACTGGTGTGCGAGTTTAAGGAATTTAGAAATGAGCACATTTTTATGCCGTTGACAAACGGTATCGGTTCTAGACCAGGATGTATGTTCAAATGAGGAAAAAGTTTCAGTGGAATTAGCAGTTTTTAAATGGAGGTAATATAATTCAAATTCAATTTTAGATAAACGTTTGCGTGTGTCCCTTATAATGTGACGAAGAAGTGCCAATTTGAATTTATGCAAAATTTTTGAAACGTAAACAGAAGCTTTAAGGCTACATTTTCACATGTATAATTTGGGGAATGAAATTTTGATGTTTGCATTTAAGTAGAAACTGTAGATGATTCAAGAATTTCGTACGCTTAAGGCGTAAACTTACAAAATCGGTGCCTGTCAGTGGACATATTGTGAAAAGGACACAAGCAAGAAACAAGTGAACAAAAGAAATGTAATTCCGAAAGTCCAAACAAGTAAGTACTTATAACATGAAAAAAACACCAATAAATAATGAAGACAATTTTTCAAACATATGACAAAAACATTCCAAAAGGAGAGAAACATCCAATACAGAAAACCAATAGCCACATGGAAAGAAGCAACGAAAGTCAAAATCATGCACGTGGTAAACCGATAAAAAATAGAATTACCTCGAAAATGCCAGTTGATGGCATACACCAAATCCGGAAAAATGATGGCCATGTGGAAAGAAGTAAATAAAATGGTGCACGTGGTAAAACAATAAAATATTCTCGAAAATGCTGGTTGATAGCACAAACTAAACTAGAAGGGAACATGCTAATGTGACAATCAAAATCGTAAAAAACAACCTTGTATTTAGCGTAGGTATAATGAAACACTCAATCGATTTCAAGGGCAGCTAAAGGCCCCTCCTCATCAGGACAAAGAAATACATAGAAAGAAGAAAATAGGAGAAGGAGTCACAGATACACGTGGTCCTTATCAGCACTGCACGTGGTTATAACTAGATTTTTAATCAGACTTGCACTAGCCGCCTACTTTTACTGAGCCAGGCTATTTGATCAAGCATAAAGAAATATTAACGAAGTTAAAATAGGGAGCGAGGGGCAAATGCACCTTATGCTCAAAATCTGAACTTCAAATAATGGAAAGCAACCACTGAAAGGATTTTTATACCCTCTGGTAGCACCAAACACGAGGAGGTAAGGCCATCTATCGGCAAAATTAACTGAATTAAGAGTAGAATTTTAAAGGCATTAGGAAGGACTGGATTGGACTTCAAATCATTAACTAAACTTGCTAAATCTTTGTGAATGTGAAAAGCCTCAAGAAAATCCAATTCACCTATGAGAAGAAGCCTTTTGGATGATTTTGCAGACCCAAAATCAAAATTATGGTTAAAAAGTCCAACTATGATACGCTATTGAAGACTTGTTAATTTCGCCTTTTTTGACATAAGATTCATGTTCCTTGATACGAAACTTCAACGCTCTTTGTTTGGCCAATATATCTTAAACCACACTGACTGATATACTATAAATTCCCCAAGAATTCAAGACAGAAACGCAATCTTTTAGAATCGAAGGGTGAATTTTATTAATAGGGGAGAGGAACCGACTTGAAAATTGAATTTCTGGAGAATCCGTGCAATTTTATAGCTAACAACAGAAGGATAAAATGGAAGCACGACAAGGTCACTAATATTATTTCTAACAGTGGAATGTCTTCTTTGATGGGAATCTTAAATTTTTTAACGGCTTTATTAATAATCACGGAGAAAATCCACGGTCAATCGCAAACTGCTCTCAAATAATTAAGTTCATTGGTAAGCAAAGATTCAGAGGAACAAACTTTAAGCGCGCGCGGAAAACATAATTGTAAAAAGAAGCCATTTTTTGCTTAACAGGGTGGCATGACTTGGCATGGGGTGGTAAACAAACTGCAAAGGGTTTACGGTACACAGTGGTGCTAAAATCGGTTTCATTGCGGATTATAAAAATATCGAGGAAGGGGAGGGAATTGTTGGATTCAACTTCAAGAGTGAATTGGATGGCTGGATCAATTGAATTCATAATAGATAGAATCTCGGATAATATCGTGTAATTATATTATATCGTGTCAGTGTGGTTTAAGATATATTGGCCAAACAAAAAGAGCATTGAAGGAACATGGATCATATCAAGGAACATGAATCTTATGTCAAAAAAGGAGAAATTAACAAGTCTTCAATAGCGTATCATAGTTGGAAACTCTTTAACCATAATTTTGATTTTGGATCTGCAAAAATTCATCCAATAGGCTTCTTCCGTTAGGTAAATTGGATTTTCTTGAGGCTTTTCACATTCACAAAGATTTAGTATGTTTAGTTAATGATTTTAAGTCCAATCCAGTCCTTCCCTAACACCTTTAAAATTCTATTAATATAATTCTTGGTTATTATTTTTGCCGATAGATGGCATTACCTCCTCGTGCTTTTGGTACTACCGAAGGGATATAAAAAATCCATTACAGAGGTTGATTTCCCTTTATTCAAAGTTCAGATTTTGGAGCGTGAAGGTGCAATTGCCCCTCGCTCCCTATTTTTTAACTTGGCTGATTTTTTTTGCATTTTAGTTTATGTGTCTTTATGCTTGATCAGATAGCCTGGCTCAGTAAAAGTAGGTGGCCAGTGCAACTCTGATTAAAAATCTAGTTATAACCACGTGCAGTGCTGATAAGGCCCATGTGTTTCTGTGACTCCTTCTCCTATTTTCTTCTTTCTATGTATCTCTTTCTTCTGATGAGGAGGGACCTTTAGCTGCCCTCGAAATTGATTGAGTGTTTCATTATACCTACGCTAAATACAAGGTTGTTTTTTACGATTTTGATTCTATGAAATGTTTTACTAGTTTAATAATTTTTAATAATCCATGAACAAGGCCATGGGGAATGGAAAAATATGAACATTATCAGTTTTTGCATCAAAGAAACAAGGTAAAGGTGAAAATGATGATGAATGATATCTGCAGCAATGCAGAATGTGGGGATGACATAAACATGACTTTAATTAAGAAATGTTTATGGAGGCGATGATAAAACTTATGATGATAAAAGTGAAAAAAATGAAAATTCCGAAGAATTGGCACGACATATACTGTTAAATAATTGCTTTTAAAAACAATCAAAGTGCAAAAAAGGGGGTATTCTTTATGCTGTTATTCAATTGTACTTTTTTCCTATGTTTGTGAATGAAACAAATAAACATACTGTAAAATTCTTAAGAAGCAGATGAAAGGAATTAACCATTTCTAAGTTTTTGGCATTGTTGAGCTTATTGCTATATTTTGCACATGTTTCAAAACAGAGATAAATTGGAGTAGAAGCAAGCTATTCAAATTAAATTGTTTCTTCCAGCATATGATAAGGCAAAAATTTCCGGATATGATGTGTAACTGGCTCTTTGTAATAAAAATATTTACATGAATAAAACAAATCATACTTTGGGATTGTCCTAAATGAGTTAAAAAGCAATGAATCCTACTATTTATAAATCAAAATACATTACATCAACTAAATTAACAAATACATTGCATAATGTACCTTGATCATGTTACATGCAATTAAGATTAAAAAAGAAATAACTTTCAAGCAACAAGATACACACACTAATTAAACAGAATAACAGCGCTTACCAAACTCATCACACTTCAAGTAAAATCGACCATTTGGGCCGATATTGGTTCGATAGTCATGAACAAATTCTGCAGAAGAAAAAAAAAACATGCTTTCACCATGCAATAAAGGTGCATGCAAAGTAAACACAATGAAAATATATAAAATAGAAGTTAAAGTGACAACACTAATAAAAAGACATTTGACATTTTTTTCATTATACTAAAAAACATGTTTTTATTCATATAATGAAGCACATAACTAACAGACATGCTTTTCACTTTTTTTGACACTGTTTTACTGCTAGAAATATAATATTAAGTTCAATTATTTGGTAATTTTATCTAATGAACATGTATGCAAACTTAAAAAATTACAGAAAAAATTTGTTTAAAAATATTACAGAAAAAAAAAAAAAAAAAAAGACAATATTCATGTATACACAATAATTCATCCATTCACTTTAAGAGTTTCTGCATTTCAAAGTAAATATAACAACATAAGTATATGACTATAAAAATTCTAAAATGCTTCTTAATTTTTGAAAATAATTTCTTTTGAGGTTTGTTTTATTTCGCTAATACATTCATCTTTCAAATAATCTTTTAGCTAATATCCATACCACCTGAAAGTTGAAAATAAATTTCATAATTTTACTAAGACATATATATGTATATATACATATATAAACATGGGAACACTAAACACAATGACTATATCTGAAATACTAATAGCTGCAATAATATATATTAATTGTTGAAAATTACAGTTTTAACGATGTAGAAACTAAAATCTATATTTAATGCTGTACAATAAAAGCATAAAATTTGCTTGATGCTTAATGTTTTGATCAAAAATAAATATTTCTTTACAAAAGAATTATATAGTACTAAAATAAAAGTGCACCAGCACAGAAAATTCACATGAAATCCTTCAGCTTTCATACATATTCCGCTTAATTCAGTTTATAACGTGATGATGTTATCAGTAAGCTCCTTTGTTAACAAAGCTGAGTGCAAATAGCAGAAACAGAAAATTATGTCTTATTTTTTTTTTTTTTTTTTGTCTGTCTGTGTGTGTGTGTGTGTGTGTATGTGTGTGAGAGAGAGAGAGAAAGAGAGAGAAATTTTTTAATTTCATATTAATTTCATTTTACAGTTTTTAAACATTAGCAGTTTAAAGCATATATAGGTCATGAAATCATTTGTTATAAAATTTTACTTATTACACTCATTTTTTTTGTTGCTATGGTCAAAATTTTGTTGTCAATTTTTAAATTATTTCCTGATAAGCTATTAAATTCAAATTTTGCACACAAACTGTTTACGAATGAAAATACTTTCACACATGAAACTATTTTAAGTAAAAACAGGAGCAGCTTAGCTACTTAAAATTCAGATGCTTGAATTTGTCTTAAGATGAATAACTATAAGCCAGACTTGACTATATTAGCATCCCAAGTTCGGTGTCATAAAAAGACAGAAGGTCCCGAAGGCATATAAGTGTTTAATAAGATTAGGATGGCCAACTGGTCAGTGAGGAAGTTATACCAAAGAAAGTAATTAAGGGTATAAATCTCATTTTATGACTTTATTTAATTTTGTTAAACGTATGAACTTACAAATTGCTAACCTTGAAAGACAACTTGAACGAACTCAAGATAATGAGGACTATGTTAGAGGGTGTGATAGTTCAAGAAAAAAACAACATACGCAAGTATAACTAGTAAAAGGAATATATCAGTGTCAAGAATGCAAACACTAACAAGAAACAACAAGGAGCAAGGACATGTGATTCTCATACATCCAAAAAAGAACATCTGACAAAATTAGAGATAAGCTAGTTAGACATAGTAAAAACCCTGCAAAACTTAAAAGTAGGAAATAAAGCACTCAAAACGATAAACAAAGGATGTATACTCATCACCAAAAAAGATGACTTAAATAATAGAGGAAGCGATACAGGAGAATAGAAATTAGACAATTCAGTAGAGATAAAAAACACCGACACCAATTAATCTGAAAATAATTATGTACGATGTTAACAGCGAATTAGAAGAGAAGATTTTCAGAAACATCTCGTTTTACAAAACCCAAAACTTGAAGGTTCAAACACAGAAGTCCTATTCCCTATGAGGGCCAGGTACTGAAGACATTGGGTACTCTCAAAACATTCCATAACATTAAAAAACATCCTGAAAATGAACAAGTTTAACGCTCAAAGGACACGAAATAATACAAGAGAATTCTTAATTGTTTCACAATGCCACAAAGACTTGGGCTTTGAGGACAACGCCCAGAATCAAGCCTACGTGGATGTTTTTATCCTAACATAAGTGAAGGCAATAGGACAACCATAGTGGGAAAAGCACACAAAGCCCTAGATAAAATTACAGCCTAGATCAACAAATGTACACTACAACTTATCATAGAAATAACCAAAGTGACAGTCTTCCCAAAAGGTAATAAACTGGCAAACAACCCGCCAAGAATTAATTGGCAACGGCTATCACTCCGATGCCAAGACAAATTTAAATATTTCGGTTTCTTGATAGACAAAAAACTCACAAGTGTATCGCATCTGGCAGAAATCAAGATCAAAACTAATAAAATTACAAATCGTAGACCAGAAATGGGATCTAAAGGGATGCCCATTGAAAGAACTTTACCTTCGAGGGGTGAATTTTATAAAGTTGTCCAATTTGGATAACGAATACAGTTCGAATTAATCAAAAACTACGGATTCACAGAATCACCCTCTTAAAATAATGAAAACGTTCTCCACCACATCCACAGCAGCCTTACAAAGGCTAAGAGTAATCTCTCTCGACTTTTAAGATGTGAACTTAGCGGGAATGAACACGTTCAGATTCCCTCATTATCAAGTAGAAGTAAAAATTAATGGGGATCTCATAATCCCAAAGAATTTGTAGAGACATTAGGATTTTTTGGAAGCAGGCAAGATGAAAAATTAGCAATCGCCTTCGCCGGAAATCGAACCACGGACTTCTGGAATACCGGCCCAGCGTGCAGAACCACTACACCATGAAGGCATGCGAAGAAGGCGGGATAAATATCTTATATACTTCCCCTTTTAAAGGGCGACTGGGGTTTTTAAGGATCACAATCGCCAAATCCTGGTTGTGGAGAATCCTCATCCAACACCTTTTTAGTTCGGGCACCACTGTAGAGACATTAGGATTTTTTGGAAGAAGGCAAGGTGAAAAATTAGCAATCGCCTTCGACGGGAATCGAACCACGGACCTCCGGAATACCGGCCCAGCGTGCAGAACCACTACACCACGAAAACATGCGAAGGAGGCGGGAGAAATACATAACCTCCTAACTACACCCAGACGCATCTCAGAATTTCCCTTGGCACAGGCGCCTACCCAAGTACTCTTCACAGATGGTTCGAAGGTCAACCAGAAGGTAGGAGCAGCCTTTGTCAACTTCCATAACAACACAGAGATTCATTTGGAATCCCTCCGGCTGAGTGGCACAGCTTCTTTATTTCAAGCGTAAACTCATGCATTTAAACGGGAAGCTCTTTGGGATGGACAGTCAAACTTTTTCCAATATCTCGATCTTCTCGGTAAGTGTTCTGTCCGAGAGCGTTGTAGTCAATAAGAAAGCAAAAATCCCGCTGCACATCTTTGTGCTCAAGAACATCTTCTCCACAAGGAACCTGGACACCCCACTCTCTCTCAAATGAGTAAGAGTACGCAAGGTACCAAGGGCAAAGAACGAGTATATAGCCTTGCTAAATTAGCCACTAACAATACGTCAGTCAATGAGCACTAGAAGTCGCCAAGTATACGATTCAGTACTAGATCTTAGGGTTCTGGCAAGACAGATAGGATGACGCTTCCCCATGGAACGCCAAATCCACAGCTTCTTTCCAGAGGTTTCCATAGCTAGGCTCAAGATAGTATTCTTCCTCAATTATATTGCAACCGTACACAAACCACCGCTGGTTTCCAACCTTCCTCGATCTTTTTCTACAACAAGATGTCAAATACTCATGCAGAGCGCATTCTTCAGCGGAAGACGCACTGCACTACATCAGGGACTGTTAGCAGGACCTACACATAGTACTGTTACCACTGTGAATGTATCATATTTATGATATTTTTTCCCTTTTGTAATACTCTTTAAACAAAGGGCATACGCCCACACAAGGCGCAACGATCAGAGTGATAAGTCACCTGTAGTGCCAAAGGCGGAGTAGGTCATGGAAAATTGCTTCATTTGCTGTAAATCTTGGAGAAATAGAAGCACGAAAACTTTGCCTTTAACAAAACCCCACAGGAAGAAATCACAAGGTGTTATATGTCTGGGAATCGCGGTGACCAACAAATTAATGGCATATGGTTTGACCCAACTCTGCCAATCTAGCGATGAGGGTAGAATACCGTTCAGGTATTGGCGTACGATTTTATGCCAATGTGGTGGAGCACCATCTTGCTGCAGAATGAAACCGGGAACCGCTTCCAAATGAGGGAACAATCACCCTGATAGCATATATTGGTAAATTCACACGTTAGTCTATTTTTCCCCTATGAAATCACAATATGAAACACTCTGTACTTATAATAAGAAGGAAAAAAAAAAAAAGGATCTAAAACATTAGTGTTGGAAATGGTGCAGAAAACCTTCACCTCTGGAGAATCATTCTCCTGTTCCATTACATCATACGGACTTTCTGTGCCTTAAAATCAGTAGTAAATTATAGTGATTAACTTTGCCAGAAATGTGAAATGTGGCTTTATCCGTAAACACAAGTCTATTCGCGAAGCTATCTACATCTAACTTATTTTGAAATTCTCATAGAAAGCTTTACGCAACGGTTTGTTGGAAAGTTTTTAACGCCTGCACCATCAGAAAGGTATATGGCCGGCACTGTAGACGTTTCCATAACACATACCACACCGTTACGTAAGGCACACTGAGTTCAGAACTCACACAGCGCGTTGAATTTGTGGGACTTTGTAAGAATGTTTCACGATTTTTTTCAACCTTCTCAGTTTGGGCTGCTGTTCATCCTGGGCTGAATTTATAACACAATAGCCCGTGTCCTGAAATTGCTTCACCTACCGTTTGATACTGTGACGATGCGGTGGTTCTCTTTTGCCAGACTGTAGTTTCAGAATGAATTTGTTTCGGCTTAATAAATCATTTAAAGAATTAGTACTATGTACTAAAAAATTTGTACTATGGTAATCTTTTTGTCCCATTCATTATGAAACACCCAGTATATTACTATTTTTAGAATAGAAATTCCAAGTAACCAAGTTAAGTAGGAGTCTTTAGAGGCTATAGCAAATTAAAGTTAGGACTTTGTTTTAAATACTTTTTTTATCTTCTTATATGTATATGCATACATTTTTTTAAATTCATTAAACTACATTGGATATTGGAGAAGGGTAAGAAAAGAAAAGGGAGACAAAAAGCACAAATCTGAAAGATAAAAATTAATTAATTGGTTTTACAAAATAATTATAAAATTATCCTGACAATCATTTATTCATCGTTTTCTTTCTTCTCCTGTTGTATTTTCCTAAATAAGAAAAATTCCATCTTTTGCTTTCATAAATCATGTCATTAAAATTTCTTTTATCACATTCAATTAAATGTCATAAAACACATTTAAAATTCAAAATTCATTGTCATAAAAGTACATTTTAAAAATGGAAGAAAATTAATTATAATCATAACTGGTATTGTTGTTTTTAATGGAAGGGTAACTCTTCCAATTGGTATATAACTGGTCTATTCATGCAGAGAAGATATTAAACATTTTACTAGCTGGAGTAATTTTCGCCTGTGCACCCACTGCATGTTTGCATCAGCTCTAGGACTAGACAATAATTCACGTAAATTTAGCAGATTTTAGAAATCAATGTTTACGAAGTTCTCTGCCTTATTGAAAATGCTTTTACTATGTATTACCATTAAATATCACAACTTTTGAAACTGATGTAAAAATTTAATTTAAAGGTTTTTGAACCAAAATATGCCTCAATTTTTTTCTCTTTAATATGAAACAAGTTTTTTACAGCTGGTACACATTTTATATTATTATTATTTTTTTATTTTAGTATTAGCAATCTACTAATACTAAATCTTTCAATCCTATCTTTTCTTATACCTATCTTTTCAATTATCTTTATTTATGCTCAGAGTGTACTACAGTGAGTGTTGTTTTAAGCTGTGCAACCTAGTCGAATCAAGTCCCGTAAAACTGTGAATCTTTGTATGCTAGATGTTAAGAGAATAGGGGTAGAGTAGACTTTCAGGTACCCCTTGTATTATGGCGAAGTTATTGTTTGATCTATCGCCAAGTTGTTATTTTATTTATGGTAGCCTGAGTAGTTAAATGTTATGGAAACCCTACTGTGACGAAATCGGGTGCATGATTCTGGGAATTTTTGAATCATGGGATGTTTTGTAAGTGTTTTGGTGGTTTGTGTGTTGGTTTGATTCTTTAGACGGTAGAATGGCCGCCGAATATAGTAAGATTAATTTGAAATTTCTGTACGATTTGGAACGAAAAGGGAAAAGAGCGTCTAATTGATTGGCGTGTAAATGAAGACTTACTTAGTAGCCATTATAAGTGTCCAGTATGTAGGAAGGATATGCGTCTAGTCGTACGCAAAAACCGTTTAGATGGAATTTGAATGTGATTTGTAGGAAGAAAGGTTCAGATATGGTCGACGTCGATATGAAGCGATTCGATCAGAAAGAGTCACCTAATGGTTTGAAAAAATGTCATTTGAGTATGCTGATTTATGGATTTTGATGTTTTACATGGCTCTGGGTGTATGAAGACAAACTTCGAAAATCATGAGTAAAGTGGAATATTTGCTTTTTGGCAGTGCTTAAATGTATAACATGTTTTTCCTTTCTTATGTTATTTTATTGCTTGGTTTAAAATGTATTTTATTGAGATTATGTATTTGTTGTGTGCCTATATTGTAGAATTTGGTGCTCCTTTGACTTTTTAAGTGAAAATATATCAAAAGTAAAGGGAGTGTGCAATGCAAGTTTGTGCAATACTGGTTTTTTTTTTTAAAGTGAAAATATGTCGACGTGTACATGGATAAAGTTAAAAGAGTGCACAAAAGGGATTTTTTTTTTAAGTGAAAATAGGTTGACGTGTACATGGATAAAGTCAAATGAGTGCGCAATGCCACTTTTAGGCAATTTGAGGTTTTTTTTTTAAGTGAAAATAAGTCGGTGTGTACATGGATACCGAGTTTGTGCAATTGTTTGTCTTGTTATTTTGGCTTTGTGTAGTGGCGATTTTTGGCGCAAAAATCGCTTTGCAAGCCAAAATAATGAGTCAAAGAATTGTACAAAATCGGTATCCATGTACCGTCAAAAATCGCCAAGGGGTACCCTAAACTATACTTTTACCGAGAATAGCTACAGACTCTATATTTTAATTCTAGAATCATATTTCCTGTAGCAAATTTTCTCAAAATAAAATACACAGGGTCTGTAAACACATAATTTTACTTTTTATATGATCAAAACATTTAATGAACAAAATATTCATTATGTTAATTTAGCATTTTAACTGTGGTGTGAATTATATTTAACTAGCTAACTCATAAATACCATCATCCCTATTTCTTCCCCTAATATCTATTTCTGCCAATTAAATAAATAATAGTACTTCCCCCGTACTCTTTCTTTTTCAGAAGATATTCAATTAGAAAGAAACTTCATGTACTTTATGAAATTACGTATTAGGAAGAAATGGTGTTCTTAGTAATATACCATCTAAACAAAAGTTAAAATGAACAGTGAACTAGGTATCTTAGAATAGGTGCTGCCATATCAGGTACTGCCATCTAGCAAGATACTTCAGTACGTTTTTCATATATTTAAGGAAACAGGACAGTACTACACTCTGGGAGAAACTATAACACTTTCTACAGTAAAAGAGAAAATGCCTTTCAACATTGTTACCTCCATTTATTATTTTCTCTCCTTTGATTTTAAGTGCTGAGCCAAAACCTCCAAGTTTAACAGGAGCAGAATTTTCTTTTGTAGCTAATAGAATACATTGAGGCTTTATATCTCTGTGAATAATGTCATTTTCATGACAGTACCGAACAGCTTCTAATACTTGTCTCATATAGTGGCTGAAATGAAAAAATCTCATTTGTTATATTCAAATATTAGATAGCTTTTAAATCAATTTTATATTCAAAAGATATAAAATGAAACTATTCCAATGAATAATTATTGAATATCTATATAAATACTTATCAAAATTCAAAAAGTTTTCCACAATTCAAAATTCTGTTTTGTAAAGTTATAGGATATTATAAAATATAAGTGATTTCATGATAAAATATACCTGTCAAATATATAGTCCGGTCAGTTTGCATACCAATAATGTTAAACAGAGGCAAGGCATAATAATATATTAAAATAAAATTAAAATGCACAGTATTGGGATATATCCCTATTAAATTAATACAAAGATAAAATAAATTCAAATTTACAAAAACTGAACTGGCTGAGCTCACAGTTAGACACTTAGCCAGCAATATATAAGTTAGCACATACAGTGAAATTTCAGCCAAAATTAAGTTAAATATTACCTTGCAACTGCTTCACTATAAACAAAGCCAGCAAGAGCTCTTTTCACAATTTCATAACACAAATCGGATCCTTCCATGCTGAAAATAAAATTCCCAGCACTTTAGAACAAGATATTTTAAAACACATAACTTTAATACATATATACAATAAGTTTAATATATGTCATTATAGTAATAAGAGCTTTATAGCACATGGAAATTAAATTGATCATAACCTTCTGATCAATAGACAATTCTTCAGCTGCGGAAAGACGGAAATCTTCAGTTTTCTTAGAATGCATTGTGGCTCTAATCTATCAGTTAGACATTGTAATCCATCAAAAAAAGATAGTTATTGATTTGCCTCAAAGACTAAACATCTAAAAAAGTTAAATTTTTATCAAAGTGCAGTGAGTCAGAAATAAACGATATGAACAGGGCTCAGATTTGGCAGGAGACCGACTCCGTATTTCTTAGCTTAGTTAATCTAGTTCTCAGTTCTAGTAATTTTAGCATGAATTCCCAGTAAAATAAGATTCAGCATTTTAATTTATAAATAAACAACTTCTCATTAATCTAATTTAATTTATTAATTTTTTATTTATCTTTTATACACCATTCAATTTTAATTGTTTACTATATATTATTGTATTCATTTATTGTTTTCATCTTTCCTGATGGTCTTCTATCTATACGGCTCCGACACTTCTAGCTTGAGAGATTAGTCATTTAGGCAGAACACAAGAAAATTTGAAAATTAACTCTACAATTGAATATAACAAAGTCGTTTTCTGTTATAATTGTCTTTAATCAGAAACTTGAGATTTTTTGCTCAGATACACCGCCTACTTTCAAATCTCACCACATCTTTTCATATTTTTGTCCCATCCGCTTGAGCTTCTGTTCGAAATCAATAGATGGCAGCACAAGCAATACTAAAAGTGACATTACAGAAGGAATCTCCTATTAACCGATATAGGAACCTCGCCGATTTAAGAGATGTTCCCGGATAATTGAATATATATTTCTAGAACTTATCTGTTCATGTTATTTGTGATGTCGCTTTTGGAAATTGCAGTACGTGTCCGGACATAGATGAAACTGCTCGGCAGATCTTTTTTTGAAAGTCTGTAGTTCTTCGTCAGCTTCCTTCCACGTAATTCTCTTAATCTGCGTAATCTAGTCCTCATCTTCATTTTCTCTCTTCTCATCATCACCTTTCTCCTTTTTAAGCCCGTGTCCGATTATATCGTCGTACCCTTTAGAAGAGAATGACTAGTACAGAATTATTTACATCGATCCAAGTCTGCATCTCCTCTTCATCAACACCAATCTTTTCCGAATATGTAACTAATTCTAGGACACAGGCGTCAGACCTAGGGAATCTTCATCACTCGACTCGTAATTCACGAGATTTTGTCGATTTTTGATCAAAACCTGTTAAGTAATACCTGAATCAATAACAACCATGATCCTCGTATCAATACGTATAATAGTGGATATATACACAGAACATTTGAAATGTTCTGTGAAACATGGATGAACAGCGAATTCGGTATCTTAGAATAAGGACCGAGGGCATGTTTCACACCGAGGACATGCTTCACAGAACAAACTAACAAGGCCAGCATCACAACCGTCGCAACTACCACAGCTGCGTCGGGTGGGGAAAATTTGGGTGGTACAGGGCGGCTGAATTTAAAACTAGCAGAGATAGCACTGGGCGGTAAAATGCCTAGCGCCGGCGCCGTTAGCGTATAGTGGTTTGATATGCTTGCTGATAAACCATGATAAAAGACCAATGCTGAATGAGTAAAGTCTTGGTTTATTCGATAATGGCAAAGTACGCTAGAGCTATTTGCCAAAGTGAAGGGATGCCTTTGTGGAGGATTTCTTAAAGGAGACTGGCTCATGTACACATTAGACTTGGAAAGAAAAACACTGAAAAGCCCATGCAGCCAGACCCGTTCGCCTAATATCTAACTCAGGTTGAATTGCCAGCGTCCAGGGACATTACCGGACGGCCTCTAGCGGGTGACTAAGTAAACGAAATACGAGAATAAAACCCCTAGACTTGTGAAATTTTTGTAGCTATTCTAAATGGATGAACACTATAAGAATAAATAAAATATTGCAAATAAATACTTCGTCATTTAAGAGACTTGACAGTTTGGATAAGGGATTTCGTTTCCAACAGCAAAGCAGAACGCACAAAATATTCATTGTTTAGTTCAGGGAGGGTCGGTATTGACTCCTTGGGGATCGGTGAAATTTTAAAGGGGATTAGTGATGATCAAGGCATTGAATGAGAATCGATAAGCCAAATATGCACCAATAGTTGTTAGCATAATCAAGATCCTATTGATTACCAAATATATATATTAATAAAATTGAAAATTAGTTGTTATTGACATTAAGCTGTACCATGTAGTAAGGATGAATTGAATCACATAAAATTAATATACAGGCAAAACACACAAAAATTAATATATTTTAAAAATCGATAAAGCTTTTTAAATGCATACATTTTTATGTAATTATTACAGTATAAAAAAGGAAAACGCAGGAATCGAATCTGTTGAAACTTGGCGGAGATTGGTTGTAGGATTCAATGGTTACACCCAATCATTGTCTCAAGTATGCATATAACACAAGATGTTTCAAAGCAGCCAATTAAACATGAAAAGTTGACTACACCCGTCAGCCAAGAATAAAAGTAATAGGAAAGAATAGTTTAGACCTTGTTCAATAATGACCGATGCAACACCGGCATAATTTATGTGCGCAACTCAATATTTGGAGGAAGTTAATTTTCTCGTAAATTTTTTTCAAACTCTGAATGCAAATCAAAAAGCTGCAAGAAGAAAAATTCGTAAGAGATATCCAAGCAGCTGTGATCAAAAGAAGATGCATTTTTGATACTCCTTTCAGCCAGCGATGAATGTTGGGTGCCCCACTACACATTTCAAAAGCAGTTCTATGTAAAAAAGCACACACATTCTACCCCCCCCCCAAAAAAAACCTGCTCAACTGAATGTAAAACTCTTTACCTGCTAGCAAAGTTCTCGTTACTGTATTAGGGTATTCATAGTGTACTGTGTATGTCTTTTTTTTTTTTTTTTTTTTTTTTTTTATCAACGTCATACAATTAATTCAGTATATTACTTTGAACTTTTGGAGAAGGTGAAGATTAAAGCAGCATATCGGTTATTCATTCTCGGAAAAGCTTCTCACTGCGTTTCGCGCTTGCACGTCTGATAAGGCTGAAGAATCATTCGGTAGTTTGTTTATGTAAAATCTGTGAAACCAGGTCGCTTCTGGCCAACGTTTGCCGTCATCGGAGTCCGTCGTTGTTTTTGCACGAACACACAGTGTTGAACAATGCTGACATTTCAGCCTTGCTAAATCCTCTTTAAGTTGAAGGATTCTGTCCATCTCCATTTACGATAGCTGAAGATATGTGGCCCATTAACGAAAACAATACTTTGCATTTTGAAACCTCAAAGATTTCTGAAATCTTCTGCAGAAAAAAAAAAAAAAAAAAAGGGTTCGATTCGTTAGCTTCTCCCATATGTCTCTGATTAGGATTACAGCTTCAAATTTTTTTTTCATTATTTGAATGTCTTAGCTACATTTACAATCTCCCTAATTTGCATACCCTTACGACTTTTCTTTCGTTACGATGCAATTTCAATGTTGAGCAGGTATAAAACTGAAAATGTGTCAGTACTCATTTACGTGAACATAATTCGTGGAATCTACTTGAAACATTGCCTATATAAATAGGCAACGAACTGGATTCAGGCATAAGGTCAATAAACATCCAAATTTTAGATTTGTTCCCAAAAGGATGTCTGAAGCACTAGAACTTCAAAAGTGGAATTTTTAAAAATATAGTTAGAAAAAAATATCACACCTATTTCCAGTTTATCGCATCGAGAAAGATACAAAAAACACGGCGAAATCACGCAGTGCAGAGCTTGCACAATGAATAAGCGTTCTCTAGCATGCATTTTTGTTATTATTATAGATAATTATTTTTTGCGGTATTCTAAAATCTGGTGCAGAGATATCTGACATAATTTTTTGGGTATCTCTAGCTGGTTACTCCGTTAAAAATTTCATAATCTCAATGTACTTTTATGCAGAACATTTGATCGAGCACTTATATTCTGTAAATATTATGTATGTGATGAAAACCATGAAATTTTATACGTATTTATAAAAGGCAGCTTAAAATTTTCTAGTTGCAGTTGTATAAGTTTTTTACTGAAATGTAAGCAGTATTTTAGTAACATTCGTAATAAATTACAGATGTAAAAATAACTGGTATAATAACTCTTCGTAGCGAGCCTTGAGACTTCCAGGACCGGGCGAAGTGAAATGCAATGAAATCAACCTCACTCCTGATATCTTCAGTAATATAATACAGAATTCTAAAATGTACACGGAATTCTGATGCTGATCTAAATTCCAAAGTACTGTCGTTTAAATTTTTTATGTACATCGCCACTTATGAAAATCCGAAATATACGTTAATTCTAAAACGTAACGTGAGAACGTACGTCAGCTCTAAAATATACTGGGAAAACGTAAAGATGACTTATCTGGAAGGAAGCTCGAGCACTGACTCCTCCTCCTGTCGGAAAAGCCTTTAACCCCTTGCATACCATCGGAACATATATGTCCCACTAAAAGTTTAAAAATCACTGCTGGGTATTGCTAAGAATCTCCTGAATGTTGGGGATCATCTTCCAATAGTTGTAAAATCAAGATGCCGTTGTGTTCGTTGTACGCAAATAAATATAAAGAGAAGAACAAACATGGATTGCCGAATATGGGTTATGGAAAGAATGCTTTACCTTGTACCATACAATGTATACCTATTTCATACAATAAAGTTTTCCAGAATAATATGCGTGCTTATAGTAAGTCGTTCGCTATGTATGGGATGTATGTATCCCACCAGTAACTACGCCTGCGACATATGTCTCCCAGCCTCTGACTTGAAAACAAGTTTACCAAAAAAATCCCAAATGCTAAATTTACCTTATTAATGACATATTTTGCTCACTTGGATAGAAAACGGGGTATTTTTTTTTTTAATTCGTAGCCAAAGGGTTAAATAAACTTACTGAGAACCGCTGCTTCGACTGCCATTTTACCTTCGCTGGCAATCAGTTACTCATGTAGAGCTAGATGACAACACATGTTACAACCGTAAGTGAGAGAAGAGTTGCTACGACTTTGAAGTGACTTTTTAAAGTCACAGACTGTAATGGAGTTCAAGCAGTTCATTATTAAATTTCTTCCTTTCGGCTTTTATTTTAAATTTCTATTCCTCTTTTAATATTATCGACAGCTAATTGACAGCTAATCTCTTAATTTATAGACACCTTAAATAAAACGCATATCAATTATTTTAATGCATGTTTTGTTTACATTAAAGAAACTTAAAAAAACTGTATCATATGGCAGCTTTTTAAACGCGGTTTAGAAAAGAAATTTGGCCCGTTTCCATAAGCGATTAAAACTCATTTATGCAATTAATTGACCTTGGTATAAATTACCCCACCAAATGCATAAAAAATTCTCAGCGTCAAACGCAATGAAAATGAGCATTAGATGTCATAAAAAATGTAACTTGAAAACAAATGTGCATAAACAGAAGCAATGAGTTTTAAAGCCTCAAGTCCTTGAATGGCTATTACGCTAATAAATTAACGCTGAGGTAATGGTAACTGACATGCGCTATAATATATATGGTCCAATGTTTAATTTTTTACAAATAGTTTTGAATTAAAATACATAAACGGGATCGGGGGTGTCGGGGGACAATTACTCAAGTAATTTATCAATTTTACTGCATAAATTGCTTTTCACTCAAAATTGAATTAGCGAAAATGCTTAACTAGAATGAGTTCTTTGGTGCTCTGCATTGGTTCTTTATCCCTTCAATTCACAGAAATATTTGGCTTAACTTAAATTGCCAGTTTGGCATCGCCTTATTACTTGAGTAAAGGACGAAACACCTTCGTATTTATTTCATAATTATTGTTCATTGAACGGGAGTTGGTTTGTTTCCCTTGAAAAGTCAAGTAATTTCCGTTCAATGGCAATGATTACTTGCTTTTAATTTGATTACTTGTGCTTTTAATTTAATTACTTGTTTTTAATCTAATTACTTGCTTTTAATTTAATTTCGTTTTAGAATTGAAATTTTGTTATTCATGATTTAATTCAAGTCCCCGTTAAACATTTTTAACAATTTACATTCAAGTTACTTTACAACAATTTTCGGAATTAAACTCACTAACTATGGATTCACTCTTTTTAGATAATTATACTAAAATTAATCTCAGGAGATAATATAATCAATAATTCTTTAGTAAATAACATATGCATATAAATATATTCAACAAACAAGATAGAAATTATTGCATATATTAAAAACTCAAATTATTTCGACAAACTACGCTCGATACATTAATGATGGAAACTATTTTAAGATATTGAAACATAATTAAAAAATAATAATTAAATTAAGAAAATAAATATTAGAAAAGTGATACGTAAAGTGATAAAGGAATATTTTTGCTTCTTTGTTTCCGAATATAACAAAACACATGAGGGCTATATGCCTAAAAGAAAGGCTATATTCATAAAAGGCGTCGATCAGAATCTCGCTTGTATGCATGTTATAGGTGTTAGAAAAATAAGGGCAGCTTTGTAGCCATCCCGTTCATCAGGATTTGAATCCAGATCGAACTACCAGTGCATAGCGACTTCATCCCACTTGGCCGTTGATAGGTCGTCAACGACAGAAATATTACTTGGAAACATTTATGTAAATAATGTCGCATCTTAAAGACATTGTTTTTTTATTTCTTTAAAAAAGTTGCATCAACAGGTCAATTATGCTTTATTATTCTATATCCCAAGAAAAAAATCAAAAATAAATCTACAGTAAATTACGATTTTCTTCGATTATTACGATTACTAGGACAATAAATTATGATTTATTCCTAAGAGAAATAGAGTATTTGCTTGTGGGACTGACTGAAGTCATGTTAGTTTAAACAAATTTCTGCTACGAGAAATTTTTAGGGCGACTTATCAAAAATTTCAAATTACCGACGTTTCGCAGTATTTGATTATTGAACTTACTAAAAAGAATTTAAATCCACCAACATAATTACTTAATAAATCCTCAAATGCAAAGTAACGAGCCTAGAACATGAAATATATGAATATGTAATCAGTTAAAAAAACAAATTAACATCTAGTCTACGCACAGCATTACCATTCAACATCAAATATTTCAGAAAGCAAAGGTAACGGGGCAAATAACATCAACAGCGGCGCGTGGTAATTCATATTTTAATAACTTGCGCCTCGACTAATGGACTAATTAACCCCTACACACGGGTTGCATCAATTTCCAAACTTTATTACCCAGCACTTGTATTTCGCCTTTTGGAGGTAATTCCAAACTAAACACACGTTCCAAGCAGTATCGTGAATAATCGCTCTGCGAGGAGGTAATGCTAGTAGGTAGAATCTTCCTTTCGGAAGAGTTGGGGTGTGTGATTACTTTACATTCATCAATGTAATTAAGAACAGTATATAATAGGTAAGCTTACTATTCGAAGACCATGTAAAGCATTCCATCTGAACTGTACGTCTCCAGGAGCTCCACTATATGCGGATGCTTGAGCATGTGGCATATTGTCGCCTCACGTTTCAAATCTGCAAAGAGAAGGAAGAATGTCATTATAGCACACATGTTATTTAACGGCAAAACGCACTTGTATCAAGAATTAGAACCTTGTTGGAGATTTAATAAGGGGCTTCATCACCTTTACATAAAATTTGAATAAGGTCTGGCAAACTATTAAAAAGTTAATTACTCAGCCCTAGTGGAAAGATTAAACAATGGCTAACTGTTTTATTTGCGACACCAACTCAAAATGCTTCCATAAGCAGGACAGTGTTAATTAAAAAAGACCAGTAAAAGATTAAAAGCAATGGTAAGTTTTCATTGCAAAATGGAATAAACGTTGTAAATGAGAAGTAGAATATAATTTAAAAGCTTATAATACAAATATAACAGATTACCTAAAGCAAATTCATATTATGTACAACATAATGCCATCTAAAGATTAAAAAAATGACTAAATATCCACAAAGAAACGGAGCAGATGCTTAAAAGAGATGCTCAGAAATCGTTTTCTGTGAGTAGCTTCTCCGTTTCAGTAAAGTTCCACAGACAAAATGCATATCGAAGTACAACGCGTTCGCGTAGCGATGCACACCGATCGAAATCCGTACGGGGAATAACAGTTTACGACAGCAGAATGCTTTTATCTACCAATCAATAGCGTCCTGTCACTTTGAAGCACACAAAATTCCATAGCAACTTATTTCGGTCCCTCCCACTTGCTACATTTTTTAATCACCTTATTAAGCATTAATCACAAAGTAGTTGTTTCAAGCTGTCGTTGACACACACCCTTAACTTCAGGTAGCGTTTAATAACGATGATTGCCATATTCAGCATTTATTGTGAGTGTTTTCGCGCTTTGTTGCAGACAAGCGCCATCTAGAAAATATAATTAAATTAGAAAATTTCACACAATAAATGCTTTATCATACACTGAAATTCATTGAAGTATAAATTTTTAAAATTTTTGTTGATTTTCGGATCTTTTTGTATTACAAATTTTAATTATCATTAAAAATCTGAGACATATCCCAAATTGAATATTTACGCAAAAGCGGAAACTATTAAAAATGATACATCATTCCCTAAGTTCAGCTCCTGGACAAGTTGAGAAAAGACCTCTCTGAAGGAATAAACATTTTTGAAATGTTTGTGCAGGGAGGACCCTCGTGGCTTTGATGTATAACCTAATCAAACGTAAATAAGTAAGTAATAATCTAATCAAACGTAAGGCAAGCTTCATCCTCATACACATTTTCATCCACTGAAAACTCTGTTACTTGCATATCGCTATTATATTCTAAAATGTAAAGGAAACGAACTCGTGTTTCTTTATTTTAATTTAAAAGGTTTTTACCTTAAATTAAAAACGCTTTTTCTCTTAAGTTTCATACGAAAATAGTCAATTAAAAATCGCAATAAGCAACAGCCTTATTTAAAATCTTTATTCAATTAGTAATAAGACGCAATTAATTTAATTAGTAACCGGGAAGAAAGGCGTGTTTTTATAACTAAAATCTCAGAACTTTTTTGATTAGAACTTTTACCCAAATTATATATATTACAGAATTAAACTTATCAGCATGAAACTTTGCTATTTCAATGGCCACAAAAACATATAACACAAACAAAGGCAGTTTCCCCGAAGCGAGAGTTTTAATCAATGAAAATATTTTTTCAAACATCGAGTTAATTCATTGATATGAAAATTAATTAATTGAATTAGTTTCGCAAATTTTCTCCGCAGATTACGATACTCATTGAAATATTCGATTTTTCTTTACTGTGCCATTACATCAAAAACTGTCGACAAAAGATAAATTTGTTGTACATTTCTGGTCAAACTATTAAGTTTAAAAAAAATCATAAGCATGCAGTTTTTCATCTTTGCTTCTTGTTTCAGGTGCAGAGTGAATCGAAAGGGACAATCCAAGTGGAATGTGTTTGGGAGCGGCACCTTTCAGGTTAGTCACAATTTTACTTTTTAAATGACGTGTGGTTGCTGCGACTTCATCTCACTTGTCTGACAGTAACATCAGAACAAACCCAAGAAATTCATCGTGGCGATGAATGAAAGATTGCCTCTGTCATTGGCAAAGGCCTTGAGCACCGTGCAGGTGAATGTACAACTTTGCTTAATTCCGCCCCCATTTTTGATGAAGAGCATCCCTGAGGGGACGGGTCCTAGGATGTCCCACCTCCTTTCCCTCTACCATCAACTTATCGAAAGGACTTTCGGCTCGCCACATATTTAGAATACCCCCATAACGCACAGACACGATGCATTTACAAACATCCATGCCTTCTCTGGGATTCGAACCCCGGTCCTTCGGTACGGCAGTCAACATTGCTAACCACTGTCCCGGTCGGGAGGCATTTTTAGATTATTCTTTTATTTATGTTGACCTAGTAATTTTTACTACTTAAGAAAATCAGAAATTTAACAGAACTATTACTTTTCTATAACCCTATAAATTCTTAAAAATAAAGCAATAAAACGTCTAACTTCGCAGCTGCCTTTATTTGCTCATAACCGCAGCGGCAGTGTGGCAGCAGCGCACAATGAGTTGTAATACCAATAAATCGATTTGCATGTTTTTCGAAACAGCCTTAAGTTTTTACCGGTAAAATAATTTTTTTCTCTGGTAATCCGGTTTATAACTAATATCAGTATTATTCAGGTATATTTTTCCCTCTACATGTTGCGCAGTGCATATCGCTTTTTTTCAAGCAACGTCTTAAAACCTAAAGAACCAGCTTATGGTCAAACGAATAAGACCTCTGAACACTGGTAATTCGATCTGGGTTCAAATTTCGGCGAATGGAGTAGATGGATGTTTCCGTAATCTTCGTGATCTGTAAGGTGAATTCGAGATGATCACTCTTAGAAAGTCTTTCATGAAGGTTCTTCATGAAAATAAAAATGTTAGAAAAATTTTAGTTGGTAGTGGATTTCAAACATGGAACATTTTAGTCACAATCTTTAAATTTACAATATTTATATTATGCATGTGTAACTCGCCGCATATGGCATTGTAAGAGAGCCACCGTTACAGGGCGCAAATTGAGAAGCGTCAGAGAGAGTAAGAGAAGAGCGCGAACGAATGTAATGGCGGTGTGTTGTATTTGAACTATGATTCCCAGCATACTGCTGGATGTACATGACTATATAATTAGTTCGTTTAATATATCACAAATAGAAATAACGAGTTACATTTTGGATGAGTAAAAAAAAATCACTTCTAACACATAAACGTTTTCGTGCCTTTCCCAGATTCAAGAGAAATTAGTTTCTGAATCCAAATTTTATATGACAAATAGGTAGTAACGAATATTTTTGTGATATAATAAAAAATATTAGGCTGAGCAGGATAAACAACAAAAGCACTAAAACAGACGTCCAGTAAACTAGTCTAAAAATCCAACTTTGCAAGACAAAAGGCAATATCATTAAGCATTTCTGTCTTCAGATCAGTGTATCGAAAATCATTTAAGAGTGATTTTCATCATGAAAATCGCGAAATTTCTAAGACTTCCAGGAAAAATAAATATAATTCAACATATCGTTTTAAATATTATAGAACTTCGGTGATAATCGTCTTCCCTAATGTTTCTAATGTGTTTCTTCCAGAGACTTCAGTAAACAAAGAACTCCAAATATTTCATAATCATAGATTGCGTATTTTACGCATAACAAAAATTTAAAAACAAATGAAATTTTCTCAGTAATCCGAAAGTTATAATATATATATATATATATATAAACAGAACGTTTCTATTGCCTGAAGTTCCATTAAATGCTTTTGACATTTATGTAATAAATATGTTTCAAAATTTACTATACATATAAGTGCCTGCATACAAGATGAGACTAAAGATTGTGAATTAATATTTTAGAACTAACGACGGTTGATTTAAAACCTGTCGATTACATATATAATCAACTTTGTTTTATATATATATTATTGTTACGAAATTTGTACATAGATAAGTAATTTTAATGTCGTTATATGTGAAATTGTTGTATTTTTCTGTATAATGTAACATGAAAATTCAAGAGAAAGAAGATATACAGGAAAAGTAAGAATACAGAGGCAAATCCGTTTTACATTGAGTAAATGGGTATCTCGGTAATTTGGCGAGATATCGTTAAGCTGGCAACGATTTTAGCGGCTAATTTTAGTCGCAAAATTTGGCGATAAACCTCCAAAAGTGGCCAAACTTGGCGACATTTTGGTCTTGTATCATCGTAATTAAGTATTGTAATTGAATAAATGTAATTGATCACTGTATTTATTAGCTGTAACCGTAATTCGACCCTCATATTGCCTTCCAGTAATTTCAAGAAGGAAAAAGTACTAGAAAAATCTCGGCGGCCCGGTAAACACTATATAAAGCCGGTGAGAGCATCTGCTCTCAGTAATTGTTAGCTGTTAGCTCATCGTGAGTTCCGTGTACAGCTTCGTTCTTTAGCTGCGCTTTGCATTTCGTTGTCTTTAGCGTTCATAATAGTTTGAAATGTAACTACTGATTATACTCTGTGATATTGCGAAGAGTTGTACGATTATGTTTAAATAAAGTCTTTAAATAAAGACTATCTTTAAATAAAGTTGCAGATACCTGAAGTGTTTATTTTAATAAAATAAATTTTATCAACCTGTCATTGAAGCTGTGTGCATTCAATCTATTGAGAACTCGTACGCGCACGCAACATATATATATATATATATACAATTTTGACTAGAAAATTAAGTTGCGTGAGTTGTCTCCGCGGGTCGATAGAGAAGTACCAAAAAAGGTGCGGACAAAGCAAAATGAAAATGTATTTACAGTTCTTTATAACTTCTTCCACTGCTATTCACCGATCTTATAATTCAAGATTTTCCGACCATTCTGCCCTAAATACTTTAACTAATATTCTTTCTGGTTTCTAAATTTTTCCATACTTCTTTCACACTCTTGCAGTGACAAAATCACGAATTAATTGAAAACATATATTGATATGTCTAATATTATTATTCAAATA